AAAAAACATCCTGAGAACACAGGAAAAAACACCACAAAAACACCCCAAAAAACACCCAAAAAACACCACAAAAACACCCCAAAAAACACCCAAAAAACACCACAAAAACATCCTGAAAATACACAAAAAACACACTAAAAGCACCCCAAAAAACACCCAAAAACCATCCTGAAAATACACCAAAAGCACCCCAAAAAACATTCTAAAAACACACTAAAAACACCCCAAAAAACACCCAAAAACCATCCCAAAAAACACCCCAAAACCATCCTGAGAACACAGGAAAAACACCACAAAAACACCCCAAAAAACACCCAAAAAACACCACAAAAACACCCCAAAAAACACCTCGAAAAACATCCTGAAAATACACCAAAAACACCACAAAAACACCCCGAAAAAACACCAAAAAACCATCCCAAAAAACACCCAAAAAATATCCTGAAAACACAGGAAAAAACACCACAAAAACACCCCAAAAAACACCCGAAAAACACCCAAAAAACACCACAAAAACACCCCAAAAAAATCCTGAAAATACACCAAAAACCCCACAAAGACACCCCAAAAAACACCCAAAAACACCACAAAAACACCCCAAAAAAATCCTGAAAATACACCAAAAACACCCCAAAAAACATCCTAAAAACACAATAAAAATACCCCAAAAACACCCAAAAAACACCCAAAAAACACCCAAAAAACATCCCGAGCACACAGGAAAAACACCACAAAAACACCCCAAAAAACACCCAAAAAACACCACAAAAACACCCCAAAAAACACCCAAAAAACACCACAAAAACACCCCAAAAACTCCAGAAAAACCCCCAAAAACCCCTCTGTTTCTTTAGAGGATTCCAGGTGTATTTCCAGGGTTTTGGGGTGTTTTTTGCGGTGTTTCTCGAGGTGTTTTTGAGGTGGTTTTTGTTGTGAATTTTGGGGGGGTTTGGGTTGTTTTTTGGGGTGGTTTTCTGGAGTTTTTGGGGTGTTTTTCATGGTGTTTTGGGGATGGTTTTGGGTGTTTTTTCAGTGTTTTTTGCGTGTTTTTCAGGGGTGGTTTTTGAGATGTTTTTGGGTGTTTTTCAGGGTGTTGTTGGGGTGTTCTGAGTGTGGTTTCCGGGATGTTTTTGAGGTGATTTCTGGGATGTTTCTTGGGGTGTTTTATGGAGTTTTTGGGGTGTTTTTTGTGTTTTTATGTTGTTTTTGGGCTGTTTTATTGAATTTTTGGGGTGTTTTTTTGGGTGTTTTTGGGGTGTTGCTGTCAGGTTCTGGGGGGGTTTCCACACTCTTGCCACGCCCTATTGGTGCAGCCACGCCCCCAGGGCTGATGCCCCGCCCCTGCCACGCCCTGTTCTTCCTGCCCCGCCCCTGCCACGCCCTGTTCTTCCTGCCACGCCCCCGCCCCCCCCTGTTCCTCCTGCCCCCCCCC